GAGATTAGGTAGAATTTCAAACTTCAACAAAGCCCACATATCTAGGAAGCAAATGTTTCTGTAGATAAAGGGAGCCCATACCCACTGTACAAATTAAAGAGTGTTTTCATCAGGCTTAGACAAAGTGGGTTTCCAGTAGGTTTTCTGGAATGGTCTGACCACAACCCTATTTGAAACTCATGGACTTTGTTATAAAGTTAAGACGCTAACCCTGGACACCAATCAAATGAGCTCTTTCATTTTTGATCCAACCAGGGTGAAAGTGTTACATGTAGTTGTGAATGAGCAACTACATGCTTCCCATGCAATATCACGAGGAATATTTGTTTAAACATTGTTTAAGGGTTTATTTTTATATTTAAAGCTGCATGTATCACCATGTGTAAGTTGGAGAAAATCCTTTTAAAACTGGCAGGGGTTGATTAGAAGAACTTAATTTCATGGCAAGTAAAACCAGGAGGGGGTTTCTTGTAAACACCGTCTGCAGCCTGAGCTCATGTCTGAAACCGAAATGCACAGAAAAATGAAGGAAAGCGAAATAAGTGTGTCAACCAAAGGATGGTCGGCTTTATGATTACAAGATACAATGTAAAGGGTAGGACATGATGGGATGACTTTAGTTGAGCGTGTCTTGGTGTTTTGTCTGAACGCAGGAAAGAAAGGCATGTGGGGAACATGGAGCAAAAGGAAAACAACAGGGGAGAAACTGGGGAGATGTTGAAAGTCAATCCAACTTATGAGAGAGAGGAGGAGGAAAAGGAGGAGGATTTTGGAGGATCATCAAGAATTTGCCTTTTAAGGGGTACAGTCTCTTACTTCCAAGCCTTACGAGCTCTTGTGTTCTCGCCAAAACACTCAAGGGAATCGCAATAAACAACAGAAAAGAGTTTGTGAGGAGCAAAAACAATTTTCACACTTATGTAATTTTAATGAACATGCCTCCTTTTCAAAACAACAAAAAAGAAAAAGTCAAAGGCACACATGGCATCCCCATCTCATAACATTTATGTTATTTCACTGAATAGGTGGGTAATCTTCAGGACAAGAAAGTCCTTTTCTGTTTGCAACAAAGAGACCACTGCAGGGTAAACAAGAGAGGCCCACAGTCCACCCTGAGTCACTGGATCCTCCCGCAGCATCCCAACAGCTGCCGAGTTTTTCTTGGTCGTCCCCCGCACAATACCAACAATGTGTTGTTGCTGGGGCTAAGGAGTGACTGCCTGTATCTGGGAGCAGGAAACAGAGGGGAGCTGAGGAGGAGAGATGGGTGGGGAGGTGAGAACAGAGAAGTAATTGTATATGTAAGAGTGAGGCAACCGAAGCAGAAGGGGCAGACGCAGGAGGAGAGTGAGACGGAGAGGGGAACAGGAGAGAAGTACACTCTAAAAAGAAAAAAGTTGATCCAACTTAATTGAATTACTTCTGTAGGTAACAAGTAATTCAATTAAGTTGGATCAACATAATTTTTTTAGTTTGTTTAACTTGATAAATTTAGGTCAGTCTAACGCAATTTATTTACTTTATTTCATATACAAATGTTCAATCCATCTTACTTAAATTTATAGAAAGTCAACTCAAAAATGTAAGTTGTTCTAAGTTAAAAAATGAAACTACCCCAAAGTCGTTTATGCATATTTTGTACTTACAATAATGCTTAAATATAAATCACTTTTAAAGTATGTTTTAGCTTTTACAATAGCAGTAAAATTCCTTTACACTACCCAAAAATTCAACTTGGTTATAACAATCTACACTGCACAAATAGAAAATGTTAAATTTTATTGTGAAATCACAAACTTACAGATTTTTCACAACACATTTTGCACTGAACATACTACACAGATCTTTTGCTTGTCTGCTTAATTGAGTTAGCTTTTTAGTAAACTGAACATGGGGTACCCCAAGTCCAGTTCTGGAGAGCTACCATCCTCCAACTTTCAGATGAATCCAATCTCCAAATAAAATTAAGTGCTCATTACTATGCCTCTGCTCAGCTGAGTGTCTGCTGGTGTGTAAATTCAGCAAGGTGGTATTGAAATAGTCCATCTGACATTTGCACATTGATGGCTCTCCAGGACAAACTTTGGACATCCCTGTGTGAGCTTGTAGAATCCAGATGTATTCCTCTGAAAAACAATGTTTTTCAGATTTACCACAAGTCCTCCTAAAATAAAGGAAATCAACATTCTCAATCCCTAAACTGTTTTTACATAAAATGTAAGAAACATGTGTGTCTGTTTTTAACATCTTCAAGAACAAAACTGAAAACAAGCAATAACATCTACATGCTTTCAAACAAGGTTGTGGGGTCATGGCTTGCAGCATTTAAACCATCTCCGATATAAGTTAACTGACATCAGAACAGAATAGTAAACATTAAGCACTGCTTAATCCAAATTGAAAAAAAAAATATGAAAAACACTGTGAAAGTGTCTGTGAACAATACTACAGCAGCCTACTAATGCTGTGGCTTTAATATGCACAATGTCCCAAAAGAAATTCAAAAAGTTCAGTCCCTTGAGGTTAAGCTTCCAAAACACAGCCCCTCATGTTCAAACAAAGACAGAAAATAATCTGTCATTTTGCACAACATACAATTGTCTTTACTGAGAGGTCTGAAGTCTTCCAAACAAATTCTGAACTTTAGGAGACATTTTGTGTTGGTCAAGTTGCATGAAGATTTTTTGAAACACTTCAAATGTGAAGCGCAGAGGCTTCGGATAAGCCAGGTTAAGGGCATATATCAAACCCAGAAGCAGGGCACATGCTGAGGCAACTGAAGTCAGGTCATGCAACACCTCCACTCCCTCAATGACAATGCCAATGTCTTCTGGGATTCTTCCAATCCCTCTCCCTTCTTCCGAATCACAAATATTGCCAGGGTGAGTTGTTTGAGATCCATCTGGGCATCATCTCCACAGCTGCCCTGTAGTGAGAAACCATATGTTAAACTTGAAGACTGTAACTAATCTGTCAGTTGACAAATAAAAGCCTTATAAATGCAAGCATTAAGTACAAGTGTACAGCTTGTGAATTGAAGAGAATCGTTTATGGCATCTGAAATATCCTTGATAAATTTTCCAAGTTCAAAGTTGCATTAAAAATTGAATAACTCAAAGGGTGATTTTTAAGGTTTTTAGAAAAGATAATACAAGGATGTAACTTTATATGTGTTTTGTCATATTGCAGGTTTTAGCTTAAACAAATTCATAGATTATACATCAAAGCAGAATAGTAGTCCAAGCCAATGGTCATCTTAGGTTGGAAATCAACACAAAATGCATATTTCTGTTACTTATCAGATATTTTGGAGCTGGTATGAAAATAGCATGACTAAAACATTCTTATTAACTTGTTTTGTTATATTGGTGAACAGGAAATGAAGTTGATAGTGAAGTTAGATAATGGTCTTTGCTGAATAGCAAAGCACACCACTGTTGGATTTAAGCAGGACATAACCATGTTAAATTTACAATTCTGACACCAAATCTGCCTGATGTATTAAAAAGATGTTTAAATATAGAAAATGCAGGCCAGAAATAATTTAAAAAGGTACAAGCAACTGACATTGAATTTTTCAATTTTCCTGAATGGGTTAAGATGCGGCTTCAAACCTTTAAAAGAAACTTACACTGTATTCCTTAATAAGGTCTTCTGGATCCTCTCCAAGAAAGGTGATGAGCCCTTTCAGAACACATTCCCTTCGAATCCCAATGTCCTCCACCTGGAGAAAATGTATTGTTATCAATATTCCATATCTCTGACAAGATTTCTGATGTAACAGTAATATATTCAAATACCATAATGTGCAGCCCACATGTCCACCGGGTTAATAATGCTCTTCAAAATTATGCAAATTCCACCTCTGCCAAAATTTATGCTTCAAGTCTCAATTTGTGAAACTAGACTATATTGTTGAGGTTAAGGCTTTTTCTTAGCACAATCTACTAGGACTAATGAATATCATTTGTTGTTTGTATTTTATCTTGCAGCATAAAATTGATATGTCTACCATTTAAAAAATTAAAATTTTAAAATAAGCTCAAAAAAATGTACTAAATAGCACTAATTTCTGGCAAGTTGGACAGAAAGGTGTATTTTATGAAATTCATGAATGAACCACAATACAGACTAACTAAATCCACTAAAAATACATAAGACAGTTAAACTTGCTTTCTTTGAGTGATATCACCTTTGCACAAAGTGTATCAAGTATTAATAATTAAAACAAAAGTCTGAAAGTAATTAGAGACTTTAACTTCTTTGTTTTAAATTAAAAATGGTAAATGTCCCCCAGTGTTCCTATCGATGATATCCATACCTCATCATAGATTCTCATGATTCCAGCTATTTTTGCACGTGTTGCTCCTCCCTTGGCTTTGATGACTTTAATCAGCTGACTTGAGAGCCTGTCCAACTGGGCAAAGAAAGTCTGCTCAAGGGAAGAGCCATGAGTCTCAGGAACTCCGCATTAATCTGAGAAACAAAATAAAACTTATTTTGTATCTTACAAAATGACTTAAATAAATACTGACCAATCATTCCAAAATCTAAGTAAAAACTCAATCTGCATTACTACCTCTTTCTGTTGGAACAGGGCAGGCCATCTGTCCTTGAAATCCTCTATGCCAGGTTCTTCATTCACCACCTCCTGACGCCTGTAGGCAAAGGTATGAGCCATTTTCTCCGCAATGACCTTGTCATTGTTCCTCCTTTTGATTGCTGTCAAGAGTTCAATTCTCTCTTTTTCCATACTTTCTTGTGTTTCTCCCACTGGAAAGGAAGGATAGAAGTTGGCTTCAGCTCGTCTTGGCTTCTTTATTTTTGCAGCGGGAAACACTGAAGTACTGGCTTTGGATTTAAGTGCGTTAACAGACAATTCTGGACATCCCTGAAAACTTGAGTAGAGTCCTGTAGTTTCCCATTTTGTACTTCAGCCTTTGTTTCCAACCGTAGCAACCATTGAATGAACCAGGCTCTTTTAAACATGGGTTTTTTAATCAAGGCCTCTGCAACTACACAGAACTGTGCGTCCTCTGGATAGGCTCTGTATCTGTAGATCTCTTCTACTAATCTATTTAGGATGTCAGTCTTCATTCGTGGGGTGACTGTCAATATTTTGTTTTTTGCCTGATACTCAGAATTCCCCTTCTGTAGCTGACGTTCAGTGTCATACGAAAACATGGGAATGGGAAAGTTGGCTGGCCATTGTTTTGTTCGCGATGAGAAGGATTCAGGGGAGGAGAGGAGTATAGTGTCATTTGAAGCTAAAGAACTGCTGTCATCTGAGTGAACTGCAGAAGAAGATGGAGCTGTTTCAATGACATCAACAAAAGGTTGAACTGCTTCTTCTTGAATCACCTTGACTGTTCCCAAGTCCACAAGGTCAGAAGTTGAGCTGAGGTTGAAGAAGTCATTACCAAAGTCTTTGTCCATATATTGCAGTCTGATGTTGGTCTTTAAACCAAAGGTATCCTTCACCTTGCTGAGAAGATCATCCAGAGAATCTGGTATGCCATTTGGAAGAGTCAGTTTTTCAGTGTTGCTCTCTCCTAGAATCACCTTCAGTCTTGCAGGTTTTGAACTTGCCATGGCAATCTGAAAAAAGGGCATAAAGATGGCTCCACTGGATGTAGAGGAGCAACAGCTCTAATCTCAGCCTCTCCGAGATGACTGAGCTTCTGACCCCATGTTGAGTGAGAGCTCATCAACCCTTTGGAGGAAATTAATTTCATCTCGTTCTTTGACCACCTATTATTCCTTTTACTTTAAAATGATGTTATTTATCGAAACTATTTTTGAATTAGTTTAGAGTATATGTTTTTCATATTATTGATACAATACAGCATATTAACTAATAACTTAACTTTTTTTTCTAAATTAGAAGCTTAGTGAAGCAAATATGGCTTACCTTCTATGGTCTGATGATGCTTGGCTCCAGGCCTGGAGAGTGGGAAAGAGAAATTAAACTCAAAGTTCCTACAAACATGAATTGCTTATTTTGTTTTTTGCTTTTTTAAGAAAAATGACATCTTATGGATTATTAGCGCAGTCAGGATATTATGCGTTTTATATCATGTCGTCAGTAAGCAGGTGACAATTGGAACAAATGGCTTCCCTGACCGCAGCTCACGGTGACAAGTGACAAGCAGAGCGCAGTTGCGTCACATTAAATTAGTTTTGCGTATAACACTAACACCTCCGTAACTGTACGTTAAGATTACCCATAAAAAATCAACCTGTCCAGTAGTTCTTGTTATAAAATCTGGCCACCACTGCAGTGCATTAGCTGCTCCCACACTTTGACCCAGTCTAGCTTCCGACCGGAACACGCCAGCAGTTCTCGGTCCACCAGCACCAGCCCTGAACGTCTCCAGTCTAAATCACATTTCATGTTTTTCACTACATACCCGGCTTCCAGCTATTTAAGTTCTTTAGGGTCAAATAAAAAGTACACACTCAAAAAAACGTTCACTAACTAACAGAGCAGTTAAGTTCAAACATGCCGAATAGCGCGGCAAATTACAACTAGCAAATGTGTTCAAAGCAAATAACTGATGATACTTCGACGTTAAAAACAGTTAACTGTTTCAAATTAAAGGTAGAAAAAGTCATTAATATTTTTACACCGTTTAAATAATATTTTGCCATGATGTGTAGAATACTTACTGTTTTACAATCCGGTGGACAGTCGATGGTCAGAAGAAATGGCGGCTGCACAAGCGGTCGGTACAAGAAGTGGATCTGTCTCGGGCAAAGCTTGCGTAATGACGTCAGACGTAAAACTGCATTCAACTTAATTGGTTCACGTCAACTCAAAGTTAACCGTTTGTTTTAAATGAAATGTGTGTCTTTTAAGTTAATTGAACTCATGAAAGTAAGTTGACATAACTAAAGCCAAACAATTAAGTCAGGTTAATGTAAAAAAGGCCATAACATTAACTACAGCCCAAATACACTTTTTAGAGTGTATGTTGTCTTCGGGATGGGCGCACCGGGAAAAGAGACAGAGACGAAGGAAGCGTGGGATGAGTTTTTGAATCTGAGTTTTGATGCTTTGAAAGAGGAAACAGGGATGTAGGGAGAAAAGGAGGGACCAATCAACAAAAGTCATGTTTTACGAAACAAAGTTGGCGGATCCTTGGGGTAGCAAGCAGTGAGGTGTTTTTAAAAGAGAGTGTTTAGGTAAAAGTTGTAGAGAAGGGTAGAGAAAGTGTATACTCCAGAGCAAGAGCCAGGAAAAGGGGGAGGGCCTCGGTCTCCTCCTCTCCAGCTGACAAAAACAGCTGCCCAGGAGGACGGAGGCGGAGAAGAAGACTCACAGGGTGAACAGACAGAGAGAAGAGAGAGAGGGACTCCCGGACCCCGACCACCTATATGGGTTGTGTCCTGAGCTCGGATTGGTGTGGGGAGGGAGAGGTGCAACCGGTGCCGGTGGTCCGAAGTTCGTCTCTGAAGAGAAGGAGTCTGGAGAGGAGTGACAGTGTGAGGATGAGGCTCACTAAGGTTGGTACATGTGGACGAGGTGTGTGTGCATGTGTGTGGGATGAGACTTTATTTAGATCTTCACCTCACTTCACCATAAGTGCTACAGTCTGCTACTTTTGAGATTTGCTTACACTCTGATTTAAGACTTGAAAAGGCATATTATTTCTGCCATTTGTAGCATATGGATGAGAAATCTTGAGGATTCTGTGTAGATATTGTCCAAACATCTGAGATTTCTGTGTCAGGATTGTTATTGCTCAATGTATGACTGCAGTTGATTGGTTCTGTATCTGTTATTAGGATGACCTTGAAGGTTTATATTTTAGGGCTAATATTATGATGGATCCAGTTTCTGTCCACAAGCTTGTGTCTGGTTGTCATTTCTTCTGTTTTTGTATCACCTGGTTCTCCTTTACTTAATTCACACCTGAGATAAAGAACTTTCTCACACTTGGCATTAGGGATGTGCGGCATTAGGGATGTGCGAGATGGCATAAAATTCAAATCACAATATTTATTACAATAGGTGGCAGAAACAATGTGTATCACAATACAATTTATATATAACTTACAGTGGAAAGGGAAACAAAATCCCATACTAATTGAGCGGAATATATATTTGTATTAACACTCGTTTTCAAATTGATGCCATTTGTTTGTAACTTTTGTTTTATGTTACTGCCTATCATTACCAAGTCTTCCTTAAAAAGAATTACAATTTTAAGTGAGACCTGGCAATCTTGGGCAGCAGCATAACAATAAGTAAGTGGCTTAATAAAAGTAAAATAAAAAAATAATAAAAAAATCTGTCTCTATGTAGAACACAATAACCTTAATTTAATGGATGTCTGCATTAAATCCTGGTTTTAATTCCCAGTATTGTGACTGGAACTTGTAGTTAGAAGCATTACCACTATTCACTTAACTACATTATGTTGTTTTAAGATGGTAAAACCAATGGCTTGTATTTTCTCTATTTCAGACTCTTTGTAAATTCCATTTTTCTGCTCCTGGTCTGACTGTTTAACCGTCCTGCGGTCTAATCTCGTGCACGTCCCGGCGGGGAATGCACCAATCCTTTTGGATTGCGTTTTTACAAATCGCTTCGCCGCTGTCTGACCGTGACATATGCAGCGCTCCTCTTGAGCATTGTGCTAAGACTGTGGGAGGTTAAACATGAACCAGGTCCAGATAATTTATGTTTTTGCATCTGCCTTTTTAATGTGCTCTTCCCTTGTACTCTCAGCCATGCTGCTTCCTGCATGCTCTGTTTTGATCCCACATGGTTACGTCATCAACAGACATTATCGTGGATAGCCGGTAGACTGCAGATCTCTACTGTAGGCCAAATTTTATTTCTACTGTATACTGTGTAGCATATTCCTACTTGACACTATTTTGATAATCATCTCCCACCAGATAGTAGTTCACAGTTTCTCTGTTATGCTGTTCGATACTGAAAATTGTTTCATTCGGTTCAAAACTGTCTATTTAAAAACATTGTATTTACCCTTTATTTATACGGGGTTGAAATCTAAGATCAAAATAAAACAAAATATTACCAAGACAGCAACAAGTAATTAAAGGAATTGATTCAATTAAATGAGTTAATAAAATATGAGCTAAAAATGCCAATGATCTCACATCTAGTCCTACTTTAGCTACTGTATGTCCCACCTGGTTTGAGTTCACTAATCATCTCACACCTGGTTGTAGATTAGTAATTATCTTCTAAATTACTCTTCGGTTTTACTTACCACGTCTCACCTGGTTTTAGTTTGCTCATCAGCTCAAAATTGCTTTCAATTCACTATTTATCTCACAGGCTCTAGTCTTCACTCCTGCTTTTTAATCTTTAGAAGGGGCAATATTAAGTATGCTGTATATGCCAAACACTACTTCATTTAAAAAGAAATTTGACGTCTTGAATTAGGGCCTCTTTAAGGAGATCCTGTTCTTGCTCTTTGATCCACTGCAGCTAGCAGAGTTTGTTGTGGATACTCAAGCTAGATACCAGGCCCACTGATGACGGCAGATAAACTGTCTCTCTGTCATGGCAAGTTGTTTCTTCACTGTTAGCACATTTAGCACAAAGTACATGGCATTGATTGATATCACTAAGACCCACCTCCTGGCTCTGATTGGTCATTTTAACTGGGAGCCTTGTTTTTTTTTTAGACAACAATAGCAGCTCATGGTGTAAGTGAAGGAGGTTGATCTTTTCACAGACTGTCTCACACTACAGGGTCACAACATAGTGACAGCTTTAACAAATATGTATTTTTTTTTTTTTTTTTTATAAAAGTTACATCCTGTAGCTTTGATGTGCTGGTGGTGTGCTTCCCACCTTTGACCCAACTGCAGTTGGAATAGACTGCAGACCTCCTCAAACTATAGAAAGAAAGAAAACTGAACTATAAATTGAAAGTTATAGGTGCAGGAGAGGATTAGATTCCAAAATACAAAATTCCCTTTCCAAGTAATGTGAGAATGTATTTTCTTTGTTTAAAAGATGTGGATAATCATGGCATCACAGCACATCTGCGCAGCTACAATGGCTCTGTTGTGGCGACCATAGCGATGCCACAAAGCTATCGTCATGTAAACACAGGCAGGCCGGCCGCCTGTCCTGGAGCCACCAGAAGAACACTCAGAACCCTGACCTCTGACCCACAGTCACAACGCTCTGGAGCATGGCTCCATTCCATCGTGTTCTATGAACATTCTACATGTATGTGTGTGTGTTGGGTCCCAGTGGCTCTGAATCACATGCAGAGCAGCGTGGGAATGTGAAGCTTTCTGGACTACGTCATCCTGTGGTGACTGACCCGGACGACTAGGGGTGTGGGAACTGGTCGGATCCAAATTATCCCGAGCAAGAGGAGACAAACATGCATCTATTTATGGTCTTTTTTCTCACGATACATTCTTTTAAAGTCATAATTTGTTGATGTTTTCGAAGACACATGAGGCATGTTGCTGCTCAGAACCGTGAACTTGATGATTTGTTTGTATTTTTCTGGCACGAACCACATGTATATATTTGTAGACCAAACCAAGATCTTTCAGGACTAAAGAAAAAAAAAAAAAACATTGCTCAAAATGATTGCATAATGGCAACAATATTGGGAAATAGATGTTTCTCACACAATATAAATAGGTTCCTCACATTAAATTCTTATTTATGTTTACAAGACCTCAGAAAAAGCTAATTAAAGATTCAGTGAGTAGCATTCTCAGAAAACTGATTGTGGAATTAGTTTCAACAATTACGCTTCCTTATGCCAGGACTATTGCGCAGCAGAGTATCAGTAAAACAAACAAAAAAATCATTTTTACTACTGGATTCTGGATCTGAACACCAGAGTCAATAGCTTCAAAGGAGCAATATTCTGTTAAATTGACTTTTGGAGCTTTACAGCTTGTTAAAATATCATTCTTTCATCAAAAACATACCAACTGAAGCTCCTCCTCGGAGCTGCAACTTCCAAGTTTCAAAGCTTCCGACTCATACAGCAGCTCATTCAGACTAGTCAGAAGTAATTAGCTAACATCTGGTGGAACTGCACACTATTTGAGCTCATTATACGACCTCATTCTCATTAGGTTGTATAATCAGTTTTAAATGTTGTGAATGGATTAATGTAGGAGCGACGTAGTGATGACTTCCCTTTAAGGCAGAGTTACAGAGGTAACAGTTTTGAAAGAGACAGAGGTAAAAATTTCAAGGAGTAAAATTAGGAAGTAAAATGTATTTTAAGCCATATTTGATACACACAGCAACTGAAGGTAACAGTTTCTTGATTGTGCTATAAACTGACACAATGTGCCTGGACAACACATAATATTGCTCCTTCAAAAAAAAAAAATAATAAGGTCCACATTCTCTGCTCAGGTCATAGATCAGAGGGGATACATATTCGGCTCCAAGTGTTTTGAGTTTTGAAAAACAGATTGAAAACAGTCACATTTCGTCCTCAAAACTCACTCGCTATGACTTCTTTTTATGGACTCACCTCTGTTGATCTGAGAGTTACATTTTTACAGGCAAGCAGACATTTAACTTGTGATGCAAAGGGCACAAGTCTGAGAGTCATTACCAGACTTACGTGCAAGTCAAACATAAATACAGAAGTTAGTCTGCCAACTTCGTTTGGCAGAGGAAGGAGAGCAGTATGCCTGCAGCTTTGTTCTAAAGCTTTCATTGTCACACGAACGAGGATAGTTGTCAGTTTCCCTAGTGTAGATATGCATGATGGCAGGAGGTTAGAACTTCCTAAAGTCACAATGTTCCTTGAAGTCAGGAAGTTTTAAGTGTTGGTTC